GAAGTATAAGTAGGTATGTACCATACTATAATAATGAATTAAAATTAATCATAATTTATGCTACTCTGTAGAACAGCCACTGAGTTTATACCAGGCATTCCCAGGCCATCAACTAGTACTTTCCTATCATCTATATATATACTTACTCTTTATAGTCAGGCTAGACTCATCAATTCATATATTGAGGTATGTATTTAATGTACTGATGAACAGAATCACAGTGGTGCTATCCTGTAGATCAAGCTAGAGCTCTTGGGCCTCTACTTTAAGCAGCAGCTAGTGATCTGATCATTTTCCTTGAACGATATATCTGAATTACAGCAAAATTGTAGATATTGTTTAAAATACAGTACACATATTATAGTCAATGTATATGATGGATAGAGCTAACGAAAGGTAAATGTACTTTTAACTGTCAAAGCATTACTGTAAACCCGCTTTTCTTTTGTTAGACCTGATGTTATGTCATTGTTAAGAGAAAGATTACCAAGCTACATAGTTTACAGCTTTGCTGAAAGTGGATTTGATGATATTGATGCCATTCTTGAAATGGACATTTCAGACTCTCCTAATAACTCTATACACGGTATCCAAGAGTACATTGAGAGCCAGAAAGATGACTTGCCCAACTGTATAAGACCAAATTCAAATACATGTAAATTTTTACCTGGACATTACTTGCGTGTCAAACGATTAGTTCGAGAAATACAGGACGAATATGGCGAAAAACCAGTTCCTAAGAAACAAAAATTGTCAAATAGTACCTCGAATAGTACAGCCGAACCACCTTTAAATAACCCAATCACAGACATTATTACTGAAATCAATGCCAGAGTAACACAATGGTCGAGGAATTTTGATAATGGTCGTTTCAATGACATCAAAGAAAACGATCACTACTACATCAATGTCTCACGAAGTTTGTCAGATAGTAGTCAATTCACAGTAACCCTAAGGTGCAAGTGCAATGCCACTTACACTGTACAAAGGAAAAAAACTGGTTCCAAGCCTTGGGTTATTTCTAACTGGTGTACCCATTTTCAACAATGTGAAGATAAGAGACGATCTAGAGAGCAGCAAGCAAAACAAAACAATCTCTCCAGCTATTTCTCTTCATCAAAACCAATGTCAATTGAAACAACACCTATATGCCAATCATCCCTATCACTTTCACCTGAGCCTTCATCACCTCTAGCATTATCTCCAACAGCTTCCCCACTATCAACATCATCTGCTGGAAAGTTACATATTTCTTCACACTTGGACACTCAATCCACCTGTATTGCAACCACAACAGTGACAACAACACCATCAGTAGCAACCAGTACCTCTCATCATGAAAACCAGGGTTTTTCAAAAAGCCCCTCCTTCAAAATGAGAGGAGGGGCTACATCTCATGGATCTGAAAGTCCACACATTACACTACCTTCAGCAACACCTACATTAACTGAAACAACACATACATGTCAATCACCCCTATCACAACCATCACCTCCATTATCAATTACACCTCTATTATCTCCTGCAACCTTACCTAGCTCTGGACAGGTAACTCAGTACTCCATCAATACAACATCATTATCAGCAGCTGGCACTCATGATGCCAATCAGGGTATTCAAGAAGCTCCTCTGGCTAATTCTCGTACTGGAACTGATTGGTCCAGATCTGCTCGACTGAAACGGAAATTAATAGAAGCTGCTGATAAACCAGACCAGATGCATATAACCTCTTACTTTGCTGTTGCTGACAAAATTTCTCTACTTTGTAAAGAGAATCAAAAATTGTCTCTCTTGCTTCAACAAGGTCAAAAAGCAGAAACTAATGACATTGATGCTGCTGCTCCCATTCTTCAGAGTTTACTAGAGAGTGCAAAAAGGAATAGCAATAAGGTACCTACACAAAGAAGACATTCAAGTATTTTGAAAAAATTTGGCACATTACTCTATATATATGCTGGGTCTATGACATACCACTTTATTCAACAAAATATGCAAGAGGCCCTTCCATCTCT